TTTGGTCTTATCTGTGGACCAAATAGCCCGTTTCCATCCAGAAGTTGTCCAGTTTTGATATTTTTTGGCACATTCCAAAGGGAGCTTTATATTTTTCTTCGATAACATCGGCTTCTTTTTGAAGTGAAAACTTATTTAGAATAGAGATCGTGCGTGAAATATAGAGGCAGCATTACTGTCGGAGTGAACGCTCTCTTGTGTTTCATTGGTGAACATAGTGAGATCAAAACAAAAATTTAATAACATTAAAAAAAGTTTTAACAATGGAAAAAACAATAAAATATGGATTTCAACCTGTAGTTAATAATATTATACATGACCAAAACGATGAGAAAGGCAAAAAATTATTCAAATCAAAGCATGTGTACGGTGTTGTTGAAAAAACGAATAACATTAGAACTGTCATGACAAGATCTATATTTATTGGATCACAACTCGAATCTTGAACATTTTTTACAATTGGTATTTTAGCTTCACAAATTTTATTTTGTGTTTTTCTTATTGGAATATTTACCTGTACTGCGGCCGTGCTTAAATCGTTATGATAGTTGAGATTACAAAAAAAATATGTCAAATCTTCATAAGCTCCGTCTGTGACTATCTCCGTTTGACAACTTATGCTCCGTTGCACAAGCTTCACCGTAACAGTTTCAACATGAATATCAATCTGATGTTCTTCAACACTACTTGCATGTTCTTCATCACCTTGTTCCATTACTGTATCTATCGTATTTTCAATGTTCATGTTATTTCTATTTTTTTCACTTACAACACATTTATTGATGTGGACTGTGTTTCTTTCACGATTTCTGACGCGTTGGAAACGTTCTAAGGATTGAATGTTTCTTTTTATATTTTCACGACCAGGAAAAATCGAAGGAACATAAGATGGATGTAACGGATGCTCTGATTTTTCATTATTTACAAAATGCGTACTACAAATCCTCGTATATTTATTTGGTACCCAGGCTTTTGGATTTTTTCTGAAATCAAAGAAAAGAATTAAAAGGTTAAGTCATAATTATAAGAAAAATGCCACAAATATTTGAAATTTCATCAACAAAATGATCAATTATTACATACGTCGCATTTAAATGTAATAATTTTATTGAATGTTACAGTTCATTTTTTTAAATTTTAATTAATATTGTACTTACACGTAATTTTTCACAGCATTCATCCACTGTTTACGTTTTACTATTTTCCATGAGGTTCCTACCTAACACGCTCTCTGGAAATTTATAAAATTTCACTTTCACACCGAATCCACGTTCTCGACGTGATATATTATTACATCCAAGAACACAACAATTTTGTCACGAAGCTGGCATTATTAAAAAAATTAAATATATTTTATTTATAATTATTTTAAAGTAAATCACGTATGTTTACGTTAAATACATGATCCCAACTGCTTTGGATACTTGCCACTAGTTGGCGTAAAAGTCTAGACGCACGGTCCTTAAGAAATAAGTGGTTCAAGCAACGAACCGGTAGATGGCGAGGCAACGGAGCCAGTGTACGGATAGGCATCGGAGTGACGGGCCGCTATGCAAGGGCCACGATATTTAGTAAAAAAAGAAATAGAGACAAACATATAGGATTGAGCCTTCGAGAGAATGAGACAGATCATAGCTATATAGTTTTTCCTATTCTCGGTCTCCTCTTTATGCTCTGCTTCGTAGTTATCGCTTCTGGTCGTACATGTGTGGACACAAACGTGCGACTGCATACTACGAAGCGTGAACACATATAGAATAATTTCGATACTATATCTGTTTGTAGATAGGAGCGATGAAGGGTAGAAGAATAAACAGAGATAACCACGTAGGTATGCGACAAAATTATAAGATTCAAACGAACCGACGGTCGAAATAAAGAAGGAAGGTGCGTGGTCTGTTTTTATTTTACCAAATGTGGTATTTCTTTTCTATTTAAAAATGTTTCTATTTTATTGAAAAATTAGTATTAAATTCTTTATTTCGCAAATATTATAATAAATAATTATGAAGTATATAGAATATATAATAATTGTATTGTCTGAAATATTAAAAAAAAAAAAAAGGATTATCAGATGCATCAGAGAAAAAGAATTAGAGAATACTGTGAAATAAATAAGGAGCAGCTGACAAATTCCATTCAAAAGCAAGTAAATTACTGTCACATTTTTATATTTTGCTTCTTTATAAAATATATTTGATGCATAAAGACAAAATATGTCTATTAAATTTGATTTCTATATGTTTTTATAAAAAATATCCAAAGACATGTACTGACCCATGCATACAAGAAAATTATATTATTAATTGTAATATTTGCGTATTTAAGAAACTTATACTAATTTTTCAATAAAATAATAATATATTATACAACTAGTGCGGAAAGTTGTCGATTACCCACGAGAGCGAATGAGTAGACAATCGACAACTTCGCAGTAGTTGCATATACTATTTTTTATTACGAATGCGGGGACATATTTAGTACATAATTGGGGTCCAGGGGCAGAGCCCCGGCGGGGGGTCGGGGAAAGGGCGGAGCCCCCCCTCTCCACAAAACAATACTAAAAAAGTTAAAAAATTTTAAGTAAATTTATTTATTTAACAATCAAGTACAAATAAAACAACATTTTTTAATTAGTTTTACTGCCGTTTAAATTAATTGTTATGTTCGAACAATTTGAGAACGAAATATTTAAATTTTGGAAATTTGTTGATGAGACCGTATTCAAAATTTCAAAATTGTCCTCGTTTTTTACTCCAATGTCGATCGTTGCTTCTCTTGCTGGTTCATTAGCTACATCAATTTGTGGCTGTTGAGCTGTTGAAGTAGACGGCCTGGAAGTTATAGTTGCTGCGATTTGTTGGCCGATTTGTTTTTTGTTATCCACGGAATTTTCGATGTAGCCTTCAGCAACAGAGCTCCATCCTCCGTGTCTTTTTATGGTAAGAAAATCAGCACCAGTATCAGCCAACAAAGTAGTTGAAGTTCTTCTGAAGGAATGTCCAGTGTAAGTTTCTGGATTTGCCAACTTCAAAAACGTTGCTATTTTTTTCGGCATACCACCAAAAGTGTTGATGCCGATGTTTTGAGTTGTACATTTACCGTTTCGATAACTAATAAAAAATCTTTTTGTTTTTAAGTTGGTAGGACGTAATTTGGCATATTTTTTATAAATATCGTAAAATTCGTTCATCACTACAAATGATCTAGATCTGCCAGTTTTAATGTCCGGAACTTTTACCAATAACATGTCACCTTTATCTTGTATATCATCCATCACTACGTCACAAAATTCTTTTCGCCGACATGCACCTTGCACCCCAAAAATTAAAGCAACCTGTTATTAAAAAATTCCAATTAAGATTGATTCATAGATCACATTAAAATATTTAATTAATTTAACAACCTTTGTAGCCAAAAATTCGCGGTCTGGAGCTTCACGCAGGAATCGGTCAATTTGTTCAGGACTCAATGTTCTAGCTTTCTTGCTCTTAAAACCTTTATTCTTCTGCTTTAAGAAAGCAATTAATCTTGAATAATTAAATATATTGAGGTTGTGCTTAATATCAATCATGCTTCGCAACATTGAATACTTAGCCCATAAACTTGACGGCGAGAGCGTTTCGGAAAGTTCACTAAAATACGTTAAAAAAACCGCTTCAGAAAGACTTGTAATCCGTTTTGCTGTTCGCCACAACATAAATTTTCGGTATGCCGATTCATATCTTGGTCGTGATGTTGCAGGAATGAGATTATTGATCACCTCATTTGCTCTTTCAATAATTTCCGGCGGTATAGACTCACTTTCATCATCTCTTTCATCACTATCTTCATTATCAGCTTCCGGTATCAAGTGGGGATTATCAGTCATGTTTCTTATTAAAATTTTTAATTTTAGTTTTTTAATACGCGAGTATAAATTATTTTATTTAAATGTCAACCTCACTTCTTTGATATCGTGGGGTTCAGACAGAGAAATATAACTAACTGCAGATTATGATATAATATAGTATTTATATCATAAATGAGTAACACCCCTTTGGAGAGGGAAGGAGATTTTGAATACTATCGACCAATAGCAGAAGGATCCTCCCCCATAGTCAACCGATGGGTACAGCTTTTGTTTTTAATAAAGATCGTAGTGAAATCATGCATAACGGAACTTCGTTTTTTATAAACAACGGAATATCGTTTCCCCCCAATTTCCGAGTGGAGTTTCCTTTCACCAAGATCGACAGTGTATTCAAACAGGAAAAAAAATAAATGAAGAACTAAATATTAATCTTATCGTCTAAGACAGCGTTTTTAAACAAAAAATAAAATGAAGAAAGAACTACATATTAATCTTATCGCCTACAATACTGACACTTTGATTGTGTTCTTTTTATCGTCAATTTTCGTGTGGTAAGTATAATTTGGGTGCGACAAGTAAACTTTTCGCACTGAAATTGACATTTATTTTACTCAAAACGCTTATTGTTATTGTAAAGTAGGCAAACAGTGTCTTTCCGACCCCAATAGCGACCGAAAAGATAGTACTTTTCCCGCATGAGTAATAAAAATAATATATTATGCAACTAGTGCGGAAAATTGTCAATTATCCACGAGAGCGAAGTTGACCGCACGAGCGAAGCGAGTGCGCTCTATATAGATACTACACATCGAGCAAACAAGCCAGCATAAAACCTGTCGGCGAAATAAAAAGAGATAGAAGATAGGAGGTTGGTGTTGTCTCTCTCTAACTTGCGAACAATCGAACATCTAACGAGCTACTACGATAAAAAAAATAAAAAATATATATAAAATAAAAAATGCGCATGCGCCAGTATCGCATGAGTTAGAGAGAGACAACATCAACCTTTCGTTTTTTGTGCTATATTCATGCAGAGACATTTCCACTTACACAACCGCCTATGGTTTGTTATTCTATCTGTAATATCTCTATGGTGCGCTCATTCACTATCGTGGGCAATCGTCAACTTCGCACTAGTTGCATATACTATTTCTTATTATGAATGCGGGGACATATTTGGTACATAATTGGGGTCCGGGGTCAGAGCCCCGGCGGGAGTTGGGAGGGCAGAGACCCCCTCCCTCTCCACAAAACAATACTGAAAAAGTTTAAAAATTTTAAGTAAATTTATTTGCATAACGGAACTTCGTTTTTTTTAAACAACGGAATATCGTTTCTTTCCAATTTCTGAGTAAAGTTTCCTTTCACCAAGGTCGATAGCGTATTCAAACAGGAAATAAAGTAAATGAAGAACTAAATATTAATCTTATCGCCTATAATATTGACACTTTGATTATGTTTTTTTTATCGTCAATTTTCGTGTGGTAAGTATAATTTGGATGCGACAAGTAAACTTTTCGCACTGAAATTGATATTTATTTTACTCAAAACGCTTGTTGTTATTGTAAAGTAGGCAAACAGCATCTTTCCGACCCCAATAGCGACCGAAAAGATAGTACTTTTCCCGCATGAGTAATAAAAAAACATTTTTAACAGGCTGAACGCCCAGTGTGAATTGGTGGAGTTTACCACGGGTTCCAAATTCGAGACTCGTTGTTTACACAGTTCGATAAGCTGAGAGAGCGATACGATTCAATGCGTTTTTTAGATTTTTCGTTGTTCAGATCTTTATTTATATGAGAGTATTTAGAAAAATAAGTTTGTGGTCCAAAGAATAAAGACGAGATATGTTATAGATAATAAGGGTTTTAAAGTGTGGCAGGCTACAGAGTTGAAAAAACATTTTTAGAGAATATCTCTATTAGATCTCTCATCGCATTTTACCAGAACCTTTGTTCAGTCCAGCAGTATTTTCCATATGTTTTTTGTAACCTTTTTATTTCGTTATTCCTAAAATTTTTGTTAGACAGCGCAAGAATGTAGATGATAGCGGGAAATCGAAAACCATACTAACAAAAAAAGGATAATTTATATTTACTTAGTTTCTGACGAATTATATTTCCTTTGATAAACATCCTACAATTTTGGTGTCTATTTATAACTATCGCATTCAGCATTCCATTTTTATTGCTTGAATTTGGAAAAGTGTACTTTTTATCAGCAAGAGACCATACCGGTGACCTTTATTCTATATGGTAATAATATTATAATAAATAAATCCTACAATTTTCTTACTCTTGAAACTGTGCATTCGTGTCATTCTCTCGAAACTTAGATTTTTGAAAGTTTTTTTTCTTAATGCTTCTAAACTCAGCTCCTTTGTGAGTTCTTTGTGCTGTCCACTTGCTTATTTGTATATCCGTATCTTTTTTTAATAATTTTTCGGCCATGGCGGCACTTGAAGCTTCACCAGATGTGACAAACTGTATAATTCTTTGTTCATCCTGCGGTGATAATTTTTTGGATCTTTTTCTAACATTTAATAACATACTTTTACAGTATTTTTTTCTTATTCTCTGCACTGTCGATTAACTAACAATACAATTTTTCGATGTCTGACGTGTTAATAAGCTGTCATTCAAAAAAGAAATTACTTTTTTTAAACAATTTGAAGCAATTGTCTTCATATTTGCTTTAATTTACTTGCGTACTTTTCTGTTCGACTGATTGCGAGAAATTGAATGCTGAGATGTAAACATAGAAAAAAAATATATTTTGTAAACATATCAAACTACTAGATGTAAAAATACTGCTGCAACATTCCACGTAAACATTCCTTTTACGGACCAGTGAAAAACTGAGTCAATCCATTTTGTTTGTCAGTGCTAAACGAGAAGACATTAATTATTGAAAAAATTTGTGACATTACTTCTAACTAAACATTTTTAATTCCATAAATACTGTTTTAAATATGATTGCACATAAATTTTAAAAATTAACATAGCACATTATGTGAATAAGTTTTTTAAATTATCATTCATTATTTTATTTCTAACTGTTTTTTAATTATTATTTTGAAATGAAAAAATTTAATGTTAATTTGAAATAAAAAATTGTTATTTGGAAATGAAAAATTGTTATCTTGATCTGAAAAGCCTATACATAAAATAATCATAAAAGCTACCTGGACATATGGAATTCAACTTTGGGGTATGACAGCCAAATACTACACTGATAAAATTGAAGCTATGCAATCCATAATTTTCAGAATAGTTGTTAACGCTCGAATTATATAATTTATATAATAATTATATAATAATTATATATATATATATATATATATATATATATATATATATATTATATNTATATATATATATATATATATTATATGTATTGAGTGTTCTCAACCACCGGTGCAAACAGTAGCTCCAAAACAGCGTGATTAGAATAATAATGTCGCAGCTATTCAGTTGAGAACATTAGCAATCGACGCATGCGCAGTGGCTTTAAAGTGTTGTGCGGCTGGCAATCGCTATCCTCGTCTGACAAGTGATGTTGTGCGATAACTCTTTCTCACTCTACCTTTAATTTTTACCATCTTTAACAGCCGGCAAGCCTTATTTACGGCCAGATTTAATTAGGCAATCGTATATCATAATAAATAGAAAAAAATTAGCTTTAATTTGATATAAAAATAATAAATGTTCATTATGAATATATAAATATATCAAAATCATACCTGTTTACACCTGACTGCGAAGAGGTGCGGTCAAGTGCGCAACGGCAATCGTAATTTTTCAAAGTCTTTACATATATTGCCGTGAAGTGGATGATATTTTATTTAAAAACCAAGTGAGTGAATTTTTCTCAAAAATTAATTACCAATAATTTAATTAAAAATACTAGCGGCCACATTTTGATAGAAAATCTGGTAGATAAATTTATGTAAAATGAATTAAAAAAAAATTTTTCTGTACACTTTAAGACTATAATAAAAACATATCTAAATTTCAAAACAATCGCATTTTATTTTCATGTATAAAAAAATTCATGAAAAAAGGTCGAAATTTTGGGCGTCACACCGGGCTTATACCTTAACGATAATAAATACTTACTTTTAGGATGGTCAAATTTACTTTTCAATAATTTAAAATAATGAATGATCTATAGAATTTAAATTTATTTGTGTCATTGCTCGTAATTAAAAGGATAATTTATTACGTAGTATATAATTGATAATAAATATTTTTGACTGTATTTTTGTAAAGTGTAGGAAATAATTTTTATTACATTTCAAGTATAAAAAATAACTAATACAATTATGTTTACATTCATACGTATAAATATGTTTTTAAACATTTAATGTTTTCTGTGCCTCGTTGTTTATTTCAGATGCAATTTGTGTGAACAGAAGATTCCAATTCCAAGCTTCGTCGGGTTCCTTAACTAAATTTTCGTTATATAATTTTTCAGTAAGAGAAAACAGACTGATACCATCCAATGATGTAAATGCTTCGTTTTTAATTAAATCCGTGTCTAATTCTTTATAAGCCGTTACTCTGTTCGTGTCAATCCTACTTAATAAATTAATGTTCAATGTATATAATACAAATATAGAATAATTAAAATGTATTTGAATAATTGTCAAATTTATTAATAGAAAAAGTAAGAAAAATGTATTTACACAGGTGCGCTTGATAAATCAGAGACAATATTGTCTTCTTGGATCTCATCTAAATCCGGAATCACAGGAATATCTATAATAAGAATACAATTCTAATTATAATTAATGTTTTAATTACAAATGATATCTAATAGATCATTAAATCAAATTGACAAACATTTGTTGCAATCTTACCATCTGGTTGATTCTCTTTTTCTGTAGATCGAAATCGATCCCTAAGGAATAATCTGTTAGTGACTACAGATGTCTGATTCTAGATTTTTGTTCATTATAAATACTCACTGTTCGATGACATTAGATGATGCTTTTGTCCTAAAAGTTAACAGATAAACAGATCAGATAATTGACAATCGAATTATTTTTTAATATGGGAGAATAAAATATTCAAATAAATTCGGAATATTTATTTCAACACTAACTTGCTGCCTTTCAAATCGTCACCCCAACCAGTTTTTCTGGCACGAGGTGGCGCCACAGGTGGTTGCGTCAAGCGTCCTGAAGAAAATGACATTGGACTATTTAACAAATCGTCGTCTGATTTTGATTCTTCTTGTATAATATTTTGACCTGCTCTTCTGCCGAGTCTAGGTATAAGCTGTAAATATTAACAGTTATGAAAAACTATTACATTTAATATTTTATCTAAATCTAATTTGACGATAATATTGATATAGGCTCGTCAAGAAATATTAAATAATTAATTAATTATAAATATTTATTAATTATGACGATTATTGAAACGAATGTACCTTCTTCGATGTAATTTCTAAATCCGTAGCCCAATCCATCGTTATTTAAAATATGATTTACTTATCTTAAAATAAAAGGATTATTGTGTGTGGGACAGTATCGGCCCTGTGTTTGCAATTAGTAACCATAACAACTGACCGCATCGTTGTGTCGATAAGGTAGAAAGAGCGGGAATATTTGAAAGTATATTATATACATAAATATATATACATATATACATATATATATAGATATTGGTTAACAATTTGGTAAGATTTTATTTGTACTTAAAAGATTTATCTCTTTCTTTTTTGTAACGAAGTCAATAAAGTTTGAATAATATTTGTAATAAAAATATTAAAAATAAAAAAAAAATATTATTTATTTAACACTTCCGCTTCGTCTCATCTTCATGCATGAAAATTAAAGACCTTCAAAAATCTTTGGTAGAGTTCAGTTGTCGTTGATACTCCTTTTTTTTTGGATTTACACGACAACCTTTATCGTTGTTAGGTGTCCTCACTTCGTTAAATCTAAACAACGTACATATGTACTTTTTTTTGTTAAGAACGGATACCTATTGCAGGATTTTTGAAAAAATTCCTAAATAAAAATACCTAGAAAAGTCTCCTTTACAAAGTCGCCAAGGTAAAATGTCTATTTTCTCATGAAGAATCATAGATACTTCTGGACTAACATAATATGGTATTCCTGCACCGGAACCGCGCGTTATCAGTTTTCTTTTCTTATCGTAGCAACAATGTTGAGCCGAAACAGTTAGAGCTCCCATACCCAACAAAGTGCGCACACAATAGGATGCTCCAGGTTTGTAAACATCCAATCGGTAGATTGGGGTGCTCACGTCTCGCCAACGGTAATGTCTGTTTTGCTTTTCATCCCAGATCTGATTGTCATAAAAAATGAAATTCGGATATATGCAGGGGCAGCTGGGAAGTACGGTGAGATGTTCTGAAATATCGATATGTGCTTCATTTAGCTTTTTATATATAATATTTATATAGCATTTAATTTTAATCCTAATTATCCTCACCCATAAATGCAGCTTTCAGTCTGTCTTCGTTAATTAACCATTTATCGCACGGATCTACTGGTGTACGGGTGTACTGGTGTTCTCGTATAATAAGCATACCATTTATCATGGATTCACTCTCCTCGAGCGATGTGTTAGTCAAACTTTGAAATATTTTCGTCAATATATTGGTAAATGTACTCGAAATTTCTTCATTGGGATACAAATTTCTATCGTAAGCGTATTCATTAATTATACTACTATTATTATTATTATTTCTCTCGAAGTAATTATCTTCATTGTAAATACTCTCAATGTTAGTGTAATTAATCTTAATTGATCTCTTATAGAAATGTAAGCTTTCTTCTAATTTGATAGAAAAATAATCATCTTGCTCATCTGAAGCATTGTTATGGGTTCCTAAACTTAATTCCTCGTTGTAGCAATTGTTATGCTGTTAAGTTCAAAGAAAAATGATTATTTATTATTTATTATTATTGTCCTTATTCTTTATTTGTTTTATTTCAAACATATTACAATACCTTTGGCAACGAGTCAAGATACGTGGAATCATTTTTGCAATGTTGTTTCTGATTCTTCGTGCGCCTTGTTTGGGATACATCGTCGTCATCTCTTCGCTCGGTTTTCGGTATGCTTAACGAGATTAACGCATTTGAATTTTGAAAAGATTGGACAGTGGCTGCCGTCATTTCATTATAAATCCTTCTTGAATTAGAAAACTTTGCCTGACACCGTATAGATCATTATTATAGAGTTTTTAATGTTGTAATCGTCATTGGCGATATTTAGATATCATATTTTAAAGTCCGATAAAAGAAGAGAAACGAAATCAAAATGGCGACCGAATCATTTGAAAAACGGATGGAAGAAATTTATTGTTAAAAGTAAAAAAGTGAATTCAAAATGACGATTTCGTAACCGATTCAACAAAATAATACCGTACAAATGATTTTCAAATTCAAAAGTCTTTATCTTTGCCACTGATAAACGTTTTTTCTTTACTTTTTGTTGTTGTTTTCTTCGTACAACGAAGAGCATAACATCAAAAGCCCGTGTTTACTTCGTAGATGAGTTACGGACTTCGAAGAAGAAAATGGGACGTAGCGGTATGTGTTTGAACGGTATGAGTGGAATGGACTGGAATGGGATACGCTCAACGATGCGAGAGATGGAACATTTCTACTTCTGAGAAGCCGCGTGTTATGCGATCGTTGCCCATTCAATGGCGTAGCCATTGTATGATGCCAGGAAGAACTCCTACTCTGTCTAACAATAAGTTTAAAATAAACGAAAACTAACAAGAACATTATAATAATTAATATTTATCTTTATACTCTTTAGATAATATGAATTATTATAGAAAAAAAAGATAAATATCAGCTTATTTACATACGAATACTTTACTATTATCGAAGAAGGATAACGTTCTCTTAATTGTCACCTTATTTGTTTATCTTACTTACCTTATAATGTAAAAGTGTAACAGACAAAATTAAATTGATGACAAAGAGTATAATGAGTATCAACTTTAAAGTCCTCATTTTCTTTTCTTTTTCTTTAATTTTGACGTGTGCGCGCGTAAATTAGTTTAATTAATTATTATTGCTAAATTCGCAAGACGATCGTTGCTTTATAAGTTAGAATATTATCTTTCAGGTACTCTCATTACTTTTGATTCACCAAATAGGATCGTTAACATCCAACGATCCTCTTAGTTTAAATCTTCCTTGAAAAAAAGAGAAAGAATAGAAAAATGAAAAATAGAAGGGCCAAAGTAAATCGTAAAATTTAGAAATCGAAAGTTCGTCGGTTAATCTTCTTGTAATAAAAAATAAAAAGAAGTAACACCGCGGGCACACACATTTATCTTATCGATATGACGAAAGATGCGAATTTACAAGAAGAGAAGAAGAGCGGGTAGAAAACGCCGCGCTCACCGTTCAAAGGCGCACACCACTATGTGTATAGTTGTGAATCGGTGAAGTTCTGTCCCACTATAATGGGCCAGTGGCGGCGAGGTGAAACGCTTGGAGAACTAACACGCCGGATGACAGAATCCTACGTTATTGTATAGCTTCTATTATGGTGTATTGCGGCTTACCTCTTTCATTTCATCCTCTTGTTAAAAAAAGAAAAGATCTTTTTTTATTTTTTTTTTATTTCCTACTTCGTCCTTTTGTTTAAAGTTTGATTTTATGTTTCATCAAACATAAGTATTCCTTGTATCCTATCGACCGATTTGCATTATATGGAAATATGAACAAAGTACCCATAACACCAAATTTTAGCTTCTATTATGACATATCACAACTTAAGTCTTTTATTCCATCCTATTTAAAAGAGAAAACATCTTTTTTCTTTGCCTATTTCATACTTTGTCAACCTTGTCTAAAGTTTGATTCTATAATTCATCAATCCATTTGCATCATATGATAAAAATTTACGCCATTTACACACGTTTTACTAATAATGTTCATAAACAGTGACAAAATACATATATGAGCTCTGGTAATGTGAATGTTTTAATTTATGTTTGATGGATTTTTAGAAACAACTCCATTAAATATGATTTTGATAATAATTCAAAATAATCATATACTAAGTAGCCGTTCATTTTCAAACACATCGTTCATTGATCCATTATGATTGTATGATAGTGATTATTATAATACTTTAATGATCTAGTACTTCATTAATTAATGTTTTATGGGTAAGTTTAGTATAAAAAGTCATCAGTATGATATCTTTTTGAGCGCGAAAGTTCGCGTGAAGCCGTATCGTAAATCATTACGTATTACGGCGCCAGAATTTAAATCCACAACATGAATGGAATGCAGTGAAACACGTTCCAGTTATTTTTAGTCAAACAGATTCGAAAATACACCCACCCTGAATTAAATATATCCAGAGAAAATGCGCGTACGGGAATGCAGTGAGAGACCGGCACGCGTTCAGTCGGACACCTTACAGATATGTAAATGTTGCTATCGAAAATCGACCCCTTCCCACCCCTTCCCTCTTCCTTCCCTCTTCCTTCCCTCTTTCTTCCCTCTTCCTTCCCTCTATTTCTTCAATTTCTTTTATAATCCGCAATATACAATAATACATTTTATTAATATTAAGACCAAAAAAGAAATGAAATTATTTAAATATTATTTAGGCATGATGCAGCTTTATGGGTGCAGCTCATAAAGGGTCTTCTTCATGATACAAAAAAAGAAAAATAATTTAAATTAAAAATCGAAGAAAAACAATGTTTTTCGACAAAATGATGAATGAATTGCTACAACTAACCAAACATGGATTAATTTAGGTTAACTGGCCCCCAAAGTTAATGGTCCGCCTCTGACTTCAATCGTACACTTTGATCACAAATATATAAAAATGAGTAAAACAAACTCATGTTTGTTTTTGATTGAACATGATATACTATGATACGTAATAGTAAGTATACCTAATTTTCTAAATTTGTTCATTCGCACAGCAGGCGAATATTCCATGATGTAGACGCGAGTAGGTAATTCATTGGAATCGTACGGCTACGGTAATAGAAATCTTCCTCTGGAGTTTTTTTTTTCTTTTTAAATATAATTTGTTTACAGTAACAAGAGAATAATTGAAGTATCCAAGATGTCTTTCAAGGATAAGTAAGCTATTACATTTCATATATCAATGATCATATTTGTGGAAGAACTTGTTTATTCCATTGTTAATATTTTATAAGTTAGATCAACAAATTTCACAATTGTTAGTAAATAAATTTTTGGAAATAAATTTGATCTCCTAATATTGATAGACTATTAGGAATTTTTCAAAATGAAATCGATTGTATTCAAAGCATTTGAGTTTGTTTATATAATAATAAAATAATGAAAAGACATTATTAAAGCTGATAATTAATGTATGAAATAGTTTGAATAAACATGAAAAAAGTATTTGGAAAAAGAAAGGCCGGCTACCCTTAACTTTTGTTTACCATAACGTACTCTTAGAAGTTCAACACCGGTAGCGTTTCACATTCCGCGACTGCATTTCTGTAATCCACCGGCGCCAAACTCACCGTCAACAGCACCAATAAATGTCGACATATATTTTAACGTCGGGATTGTAAATTTCAGTGCTGATTTCATCGGTTTCGCCCTCACGAAAACATTCCGAGGACTTGGAAGAGAGAGAAATGTTTGATTTCGGGACGCTCCTTTGATGGCAGACAATAAATACCTCCTCCTACGTTTTAGAAATGTACGAGTTTGAAGATTCGTCACTTTAGATCATTTTTTGAGAATCAAAAGGGACAAAGAATAATAATGATTAAAAATAATAATGATTGTGTCTGTTTAAATATCATTTATTATATACTGTATAGCTATAAATTATTCTCTAATGTAGCTATCACGAGATATTTATATATATATATATATATATATATATATA